GTAAGCTCACTTGTGCACTACTACCTGCATTCTGCACCATGCAGCGGGTACAGCAACAGAAGTTGGCTTTTCTACTCTCAGGTGGATGAATCAATAAGAAAATGTTACCTTAGGTACTGTAAACAGTTTGTCCACAGTTTGTTTTTTTCACTGAAAAATAAAATCAAAATAAAACACAATGGCATAGCAGTGTTTAAGTACATGATAAATACTGCTCAGAAGCATTTGCTGAATCATCTTTGAGTTGAAAAGTGCTCCAAAATTTATCATCTTTTCAGACCAGTCAACCATCATATGAGTGTCTGCTGGAGTATCTGTTGTCACGCAAATTAGGTTTTCCTGTTGATAGTTTACCTGTATGAAGCTTTCTCATTTTGCTTGTCCTTTCTCATTGTTTTCCAGTGTCTTTTGTGACCATGAAGTGCTTACAAACACACCAAGAATCGGGATGATCCCCACATGCATGTGTTAAAATCAGACTGAAGTCGTAATACTGATAACCTTCTTTTACACTTCTTCAGTGGAGAATGCCTTTTATAAATGGCTGAACTGCCTCAATATGCAGTCTGCATTATTGCTTGGAATGATCGTGTTTCTAGCTCAACCTTAATGTAAACTTATCTGCAGCAATATGTTGGATCATAGTCAGGTATCCCTTAGAATATTGCTTGGGATTTTTCTCCTCTTTAGCATTCAACTCCTTGGCATTCAACCAGGGAGGTCTGTGAGAGACTACACCTGTGGTCCTAAGAAATCTGTTTCCTAAGTTAAGGTCAATTAATTTTGGCCATACAACTCATGTGGCTTTACTGATCTTACTGATTTATTTATTATAGTGCCAAGAGGTAATTTATCTTGTTTACTTAGTGAGCTCCAGTCACGTACTTCTTTTTAATAACACTTAGTTCTTACAAAATACCTACGTCTTTGAAGGTCTATTAAATAATAAAATGGTATAGTTGATTTGATTACTTCAGTGTTATGCATCAATCCTTGTGATGTCACGACAGCATTCAATTTTGATGGCACAAGATCACAGCTTTGACTAACCTTCTTACTGTTTGCATTCAATATTATGGCAATCTATAGGTACTACTAAAACAGACAGTAAATCCTAACAATCCTTAAACACTCTGAAGTATACATTTAATGTTATTAAAGATGAGAAAACAGGCACTGAATGTGGAAATGGAAGTTTAAAATGTCTGATAATTAGGCTTTTGATAACCTTCAAACAGCAAGAGACGCTTGTTTTGGCTTTTCAGAAGCAATATGTCTGATCCACAATTAATGCTACATAACTGTTGCTTAACTTGGGAACAGGCCATAGCTAAACATAAACAGAGAAATAATTCTCATTCTCATTAATTCCCACTCATCTCATAAAACTCTTTTTTTTTTCTTTATGTGCACCTCACACTTAACTGCCACAAATTACAACTGAAGTCACTTGAAGTCACTGTGAAATTAAGAACTGTTCTGGATTCTTCATAGTATCATAACCCATGCCTGGTTGTAAGAACACAAGGAGCATGGCCATTAGTACATACTTCCTCAGTCTTAAAATACCAGGAGATCTTGTTCTATTATAATAGCAGCTCTCTTCCATTATGAAATATTAGTACTATTTGAAAAAAAATAAAGAAACCAAACAAAAAATATCTCATAAATACATTTAAAATGCACAGTAATATTTTGGAAAGTGAACCAGTAGAGATTTCAAGATAATGCTAGGCTTTCAGTGAAATATTCCCATCCTAACAGACTACCTTAATGCTCCTCCCTTACACCAAATTAATACTGCCTCAGGGTCTTTTGCTTTGAAGCTCAGAGCTGCTCTTCAACCCTATAATACAACCACCTTCAACCTGTATATAAAATAAAACTTGAACTATTTAAATGCCATTCGTGGTACAGCACCAAGGAGCCATTATGAAGACTCAGTTAGTAGACTTTAGACTTTCTGAGTATTTCTTCAGTCAGAAAAGCCTGGGGTGGCAAGAAACTGCAAAGAAAATGACACGAAAAACCTTGAGGTTCTATTCTAAGTATACTGTTTGGGGCAAATTCTTTTAATATAAGGAGATTAATAAGGAGTTTAGCTCACATAGGTCTACCTGTTCTTGTGGACTGCAAATGTGTCAAATCTGCTGGCTGGTGGCCCTTGTGTAATCCCGAGTTAGCCATAAATGCTGATGTGGCAGAAAAAGAGATGTTATTAAATCAATTAAGTTTCACCAAAAAAAGTTACTAAACTGCACAATATGGCATTTTTTCCCTCTTTAACTTTCTGCTGTGCTTCTTCTCTATTCTACTCCTTTGTGTTCTTCATGAGAAGGGATAAAGCTTTGCTGAACTAAATAGTGGAAAGTTTGAAAAAAACTGAGCTCAAAACCTTGAACACAGATTCTAGTTGCTGCCATTCATATGAGAATTAGAATTCCAAAATGCACTCTGAGACTAAGCTTTCAGGTGTGTTTAGCCCAGACTATTTATAAATTAGACTCTCAAGATATTTCTCAAACACAAATGGTAAATTGCATATTCATATGTTCAGAAACCTTCGTGCACCACCGTAAAATTGTTATGCAGTCCATGAAATCCATTGAAAATGTTTTAAGTTCCCAGAAGTTTTGATCTGATGAATAAAGAAATGTGCAGTTTGTTTAATCTCTGAACTGACACTGAATATTAAAGTGTCTCAAGAATGATGCATATATTATAAATGTTAGGTCTTACTTCAAACAAAAGTTCCCATCAACATCAAATAATAGGAAAGAATAGAGATTCTGTTCTCTACTGTGTTGATGAGAAGTGCTGCATATTTTCACCAGTTCACAATGCAACACATCTCATTCTGTTTAAGAATATGCCTTAAGAATGAGGAAAAAAAAAATGGAGGGTAATCAGGAGCTGAAGTTTACTTGCTAGCTTTACTTACTTTCTGCCTTCTTGCTAAATCTTACAGAACAAGTTGCAGGCATCTTTGATTATTTTTTTTTTATGTCTGATTACTTACTCAGCTTTTTCATTTTGTTTTTCTAAATTTTTTTAAGTGACATCTGCATTCTCTATCTTAAAAAGTGCTAAATTAAGAAAACAGAGTTCATCTGCAGTCATTAATAATATTTCTTAAGAGAGTGTCCAAAAGGTGACAAACTTAGTGACCAGCAGGATATAATGAAAACTCAGGCTCTGGATAGAGATTTCTCAAGCAGTGGCACACTCCTCCTTTGCACAAAAGACTTTTTATGAAGCAAAATTGGTCTGTGAGAGTGAGGCCATGCTTAATGCCACAAATTGAAAAATAATCATCATAATGAAGTCCCAGAAGCAGCTCCATATCTTGGCAAGTTCAATCACCTTTGGAATTACACAGTCACACTTACCTCTAGAAGTGTGAGAAGACTTTGGGCACCATCTTTTTCCTTTCCTTCTTTCCAAAAGGGAAGCCAAAATAAAATACAACTCTTTATGCCACATGAAGGATTTATCTTTGGCAATTTGAATGACCTGATCAATCTGTCACGTGGAGAGACAAAAGAGAGCCACTTACAAACTGATCTAGCTGAAGTAAAAGCAAAGGATTAAGCTAAGAGCATCCCGCAGCGATGCTCACTAACTTACATATGAGCTTAGTTGGTTTAAGAAGTATTTTGACCTAAGCAACGTTTGCTCTTGTGGTGGTGCGATAAGCATATAGGAAGAGAAAAAGAGTAAATTTAACATGAAAGAATAGAAAGGGAGAAATCTATTTTCTAGCTGTTAATATAGCTTAGGGAATAAGTATCAGTATAGTGGGGAAATAAAGTGCAGCACTACACATCAGAAAGTCATGTTACAGCATGGTCAGCAGTATTAGCAGAGTTAAAAGAAACTTTAAAAAGAAAAGATATTCAAACAAAAGCAGAAAATCTGATAGCACCCAAATTCAATATTTTTGCTTTTTAGGTAAAATTCAGAACACCAAAAATTTGTTCTTCACTACTCCCTTCGCACCATATTCCTAATCTTACTGATGATACTGCTGCCTTTTTCAGGCTTGACCATCTTCTGTTAAGTGATGCACTCAAGTTCACAGTTAGTCGTAGCACTTCATGTTCTCATCAGCAGGCCATCAGGCTGTGCTTTTAAAAGATAACTGAAGAGAGCTTCTGAACACAAAGCTCTTCTAAGCAATGCGAGAACTCCTATTTAATCTAAGAGAAAATAAAAGCAATTACCCACACTCCTTGTACTGGTCTAAGATATGTATTTACACTAATAGCCTGAAAAATTAGCTCACATTACTACTGCATTATCTGTAAAAGAACACCAATGCTAGTTGGGACATTGATACAAATTCTAAGAAAGAAGAGTAGCTTGTGTTTATTACAACTCACAGCAGATTACACATACCCCTTTCTTGCTATCCCTGACAGTGTCCAGTCCCATAAACTGTCCAAGCCCCATTTCTGCAAGAAATTAAATAGATTTGAAGTATTAGTTTGATGAGAGTTTTTGAAAAAGAAGCAATTAACAGAAGATTTAAGATTAGTTTTCTCAGAAGCACCAACACCATGTTCTGCAGCCCACCCCATTAACACAGGTGGATCCTACAGAGGTTGCCTTCTGTATTCCTTAAATAACCATTAAGGTCATTTACTAACCAGGTATGCTTATGAGCTAAGTATAACAGGAAAAAAAAAGCAATATAAAAAGTCCAGTAAATCCGTGAAGTACTGTGGAAAGACAAGAGAAGCAAGAGGAATCAAAGTTTCAATATTACTAATGCTAGATAGCTGCATATAGAACAAATTCTTCTCTCCTGATTACAGTTCAGGCCAAACTCAATAACAAAGAACAAAAAATGGGGTGTGCTTTTACAGTAGCTGATGTCTGGTATTCACTGACACCACTATAAGAAGCGACTCCAAAGCATTCTTCACAGCAGCTCGTCTGACATTTATGCACCTCCACTCCCTCCCATCCAGTGAGCATGCAACTGAATGAACATTGTGTTCCAGGATGCAATTTATTTAAAAACATTTATTTTAGGCAAAATTAAACAGACATTTCAATTTACATAGAAATACAGTTTCCAATTGGATCACGCAACCTTTTCATTAAAAATGTCGTGCTGTGTTAAGTATTTTTGTATGGATTGACCAGTTATGCAATATGTAATCATGCCATTTGCAGTCAACTATCATAAAAATCAGTAACGAAAAACAGTTCTTAAAATGTGCAAATATTATTTATTTTGGTGTTATGATCGGTAATAAATGACCACTAAATATACGCTTATTATGTAAAGCTTTTTAAAGTACAATAAAAATACAAATTCTATTTGTTAAAAAAAGGCCATTACTATGGCTACTAAACACCCTCATTATACAAATTCCAAAATACTATATGACAAACAAAATTATAAAGACTTTTCTTTATGAAACATACTATTCTATTTGTTAGTGATTTTATAGATATATATTTTTTAATATATATGATACTCTATATGAATATTCAATGAAGAATTATAGAGAGGAAGACTAATGCAATGCAGAACATTGGCATCCCAATTGAGCAGGGTATATGAGCATGAGTCAAACTCAGCAAAGGAATAACATCATCTCAGCAGACTTTTGAAGGACTTTGTTGAAGGGGGTGTAAAAATACACATATTTTAATGAAATTGCAAAAATACATTTTTGTGTAAACTGTAAACCGTAAGTGTCAGAAAAAGGCCTCTCTGGAAAACAAGGAAAAAATATCCAAAATGCTCTTAGTTTGTTTTTTATTTTTATCAACATCTTTCTGTTTTAAGGGGAGAATAACAGAATTGTTAAGAGGATTAAATTGAGCAAACGTGGGGTTTGGGCCTTGAAAGAGTAATGATAATCCTTTTCTGAGATAAGCTCCAGATATTATTTTATTGCTTGTGCTGAAGGTTAGTGAAGAGTATGCATAGAAAGGTCAGCGTTAAAATCATTAGCAGCTGAAAGTTTTGGTGTGCAGTTGCTTGTGTAACATGAAAAACAAGTGAGTATGAAGGACCGAAAACTTGCGGCAAGCTTCAAACTTATATTAAGACACAGAACATCAAAGGAGACTATGAAAACGATGCTCAACAGCCCAACTGAACACTCCGGTGCTGAAAGTAGCTCACAGAATTAACCTCTGCAAAGAGTGCCTGCTTGTGCACAACATCACATAAATCCGTCAGTAGAAGCAAAATTCTAGTCTTACGTTCAAATTTTCATTATGAATTTTGTTTTGTAATCAATTCCAAATGGTACACTTTACTGTTCAGCTATAAAACAAAACAGAGAGTAGGTACTTCTTCATTTCTGCAATTTAGCAGCTCTCCTATGCTATTAAATGCTAAGTAACACACTATTTGTAAGCTTCTAAAACATGATTTAATGACCTAAAAATCTTGCGGATTTTATAAGTGAATAACAGATATACAGTGTAATAACTGTACACAGTAATAGAAATTAATTACAAGGCATACCAACTTTTTAAGCATATATTAATGGTTAATATTTTCTGCTTTTTCATTGCAACTGCAATTAATCATTTCACAGATGGAACTTGAAATAATGGCTTAAAAGCTTATTTTCAAAATACTGGCAAGTAAAGCATTACGTGAAAATCATGCTTGCATCTCTGCAGAGAGGTACGTGTGAGCTTTCTGAAGAACGCTTCCAGGCAAATAGTAGTAAAGAGTAGTAAACTTGGGCCAAAGTGCGAGGGAAAGAAACAACAGTGTAATTTAATTCATATTTCAAAGTACAACTTTATACATTTGTACAGGGAAAGACTGGAACTAAGTCTTTTTTCTTTTTTTTTTCTTTTTTTTTTTTTTTTTTTTTTTACAGAAGCAAACCTCAAACGAGTTCACATGTTGAAAAAAAAGCATATTTTGGCACATGGATAATATTTGTGAATACATGTTCAGAATTAAAAAATACTGTGTAAGAATTTCACATTTAGTTTCTTGGCATCAGCATCTGCTGTCTAGTGGGTCAAGACAAAATACTGTGCCTTCAAGAGTTAATCCCATTTTGAACCCCTCCTGCAATGAAACAAAACACTGTTAATAAAAGAGAAAGTAATTCCTCGAGGATCATTTTCTCTATAAATATCTAAATTCCAGCTTATTTCTAGCTCAACTTCGAGGTACATAGCTAAGACTGTTCCAGAATGTTCCAGATGGTTCACAGGATAATTCACATTTACACTATTTGGTCAGTCAGTTTTCTTAACTTTCTCTCAGCCATGAATTTATAAAAGGACTTCACTCCAAGAAATACTGTGTGTAGATTAAGTAGTATTAGAATAAAAATATTGACTATTTGCATACATAAATTGATAGAAAAACAAGTTTCACTTGAATCATATTGAACGTGAGCAAAATTCAACACAATTTATAAGTAGGAAAGATCAGATTGCTGTGTGAGAAAAAGAAGTTTATTATATTCACACTTCAAAGAGATACAAGTTGTGGACGTTGCTGTTAATACCAGATGTCTCGTACATTCAGCAATCCCTTTTATTAGAAGTAGTCTAATAATAAATGTAGTGGTACCCAACAAAATCTCAGGTTTGTTCTGAGTCATTCACTGTGCTGGTGGTGAGCATAACACTGAGAGGTGTTAGGCTTTAAACTCTATGGTTATCTGTGCTTCACCACAAGGCAAATAGAATAATACCTGTTTTACTGAAAATGATTGAAGGATGAATTTCAAATGCGTGAAACACTCAGCACTATCAAAATGCAATGCTTTGAAAGGAGCAAATAGATTCTTAGGGAGTTAAACTCAAAATTTCTCATATTTTACTGGTAGAAACACTACTATAAGCTATACACTCCTGCTCTCTGCATCGAAAAGAATCATTTCCACAAGTACACATTTATGGCCTGACTGTCAGAAGAAAAGTCACCTTTGAATCCACAAATGTTCAGTCTGTTTGGCAAAGGTATTGTCAAGCTGTAAGCAGCTGGAAACAAGGACTCTGAATAGAAATGTTATAAGAACATCAGCTCCAGCAGCACTTGTCACACTGCTCAGCTCAGTACTCTCTGAGCCTCCAAGTCACTTGAAGAATGTTGGTTATGTGCTATGAAATCAATACTATGCGCTTTAATAAAGCAAGCATCTTGTAATCAAACTAAATCTTGTTGTAAGGTAGCCTGCACTGGGACTTGGCAGAATCTCAAGACTTGTCATAATGCACAGGAGTACCTCAGGAGTATACCTTTTGGCTTTAAAAGATCATTCACAAGTCAAAACAGCTTCATTTCAAACAAATGTAACCCCCAGGCTAGGTTTTAAGAGTCTGAATGTTTAATAAACCTACCAGAAAATGCCATCTGCAATGCTGAAAAATTCAATACACTTCCTGGTGATGATTACTAAATGGTCTGAGATTCTTCAGGCAAAGTCTGCATTTTCCTAACATTCATACTGTGAGTTAGTGAGCCAGCAGTGTTACCAGGCTGTAAGCATTCTCCAGTTGTGCTGCCAGGTTTGCCCTACCTGGGTGACATGATGTTGACAATGCTCGCTGGCATATTTGATTTTTTTCCCCTTCCCTTCTGTACTTTTCAACAAGCCAACAGGAGGAGCATTCAGTGCAAAAGATATTTCAAGCAAACAGAGCGTGAAGTTCCAAGCCAGCATTCTGTCATAAATGAGACGTTGGTTATTGACCCAAAGGATGCAGCTTCTTGATGCAACTGCAGCCAGAAGGCGACTGCTTACACAGGAGCACCAGCCCTAGGATTAGCGAGACAGTTCAGTCTGCTGAATCATAAATTTCTCAGTTCCAGTGTGTCTGAAACTCTAATATTTTTAAGCATTTAGAAGCAGCTGCCAGTTTTGAGGCTGTAAAAGGGACAGTTTATGCTTCAACCTGAAGATTCTTGATGCAGCTATAATAGTAGAAAATCTATGGCAACTGGTCTATCAAGGACACAACTTGATTTCTATCTCTGCTGGGAACCCTTTCAAATCTCTGCCAGTCCTATAACCCAGCACACACCCTGTTCATGTTCTGCATGCTCCTATCTTTCCTTTATACATTTCAGAACTGCTTGGTAATGTCTAACATAGCTGCATGTCCAGTGAGGTTTTTCTGGCCAGCCAAGAGCAAATCAGATCTGCACTTTTTGTATGTGCGCTCATCTCACTGTTATACTGACCAGAGTGGATGGGTATGATATCCACCTACTACATATCACACAAAACTCACAGGGTCAGATTCAACAGTAATTAGCAGGTCCATCTTCTCATGGCAACCACAGGGTCAAAAAAAAAAACAACCCCACAAACAGGACATCAGGGCAATCTGGAGAACCATCAGAGCATTTGTCAGAATTTAAAAGAATTCACATTATTATTAAAGTTAGAGGAAAAGAAATCATAGGATTATAAACCAGGATACTCAAAGAAAGCTGTATTGACTCAGTCAATATTCCCATTAAATGCAGCACTCAAAAAGGGAAAACTTCAAAACATACTATTCCAGCAGAGAAAGGCAAAGGAATTGCAATCAAATTCCTTAAGATTAATAAAGCACAAACTTCAGATCTCCCACAGCCATCTCCATTCGAGCCCCACAGTTTTTGCCAGCTAGCTTCAAATTCTCCAATACTTCTGCAATCTGCACACCTATACTTCAGAAAATACATGATGATTGTAACAGTAATAAAATTACCCAATCAGCTGTTGTCAGCCAAGATGCAAGACAAAAAGTTTTTATGGGAAGATTTTTATTTACATCCAGGCACAGCTGAAATGTGATTAAGGCAGGTAAGAGGACAAAAAACAGAATGTCTGCAGCCTTATGTCAGTTTTCACAGTTACACTTCCTTTATACACTCCTGTCACTTCTGATGGTTCTGCTTGAAGCTGCTGTATGTTTATTATAATATCCAGCATATGCCTGCCTTCTACTCTCCACTCCAAAACCCAGCATTCACAGCTGTAATAATAATGATGTCAGTTGGAATGGCTGAGTAATTATAAATTACACTTTATTTTTATCCTTTTTCTATTGAACTGGATTAATGTATCAAGCAGAATTCTTTTTCTTAAACATGACATATGGTCAGTACTTGGTACACATTACATGCTATGTATCATCAATTTTAATACTGAGTATTTTAAATATTAAATTTAAGCATTTCAGATTCTTAGCATAACAGATTGCCCTTTCATTATACACCATATGCACCACAGCTTTTTGTACAGTCAGGGCTCAGGAAACAGTAACATTTGGTCAGAAAATATCTCAAATTGGCTGATTTTGAAGGAATGCAGACAAAGACCATCCCTGATACCGGACAGGAAAGGGAACATGAAGAGCTATAAAATGTACACCTACACTGTGCTTTACTTATGTGCTCATATCTACATGACAGCCCTTTTTTACTTCCAAGATGACTTAACACATGCACTGAACATCTTCGTTACACAGAAAAACAACAATATTACACTAACATGTGATGGGTCTCCTAGAGATGCAAAGCTTATTTCCAATATGAAAAGTAATCAGAAAACAAACCATCTTCCAAAATTCTCAGTTCGTTTTTTTCTTTCTTTTTTACTATTCCATTTAAAAACAACAAGCAGTAAAACACAAACTAATTCAATTTTATCACAAGGTAAATCTGCCAAAGTCAACCCACATGGCTCTTTCTGAGGTTAGATTGTTTATCCCTTCACCACCTGACTTCACTCAATGACCTTAAGTCAGCACAAACTCAGTGAACCAATGATAAATCAACAAGTATTGAGAAGATAATTTAGAGGGCTGAGCATAACTTATTTCGGATGGAAATTAGACAAGCCTCCTGACTACTTTGGGCTGTGCACGGAGAATGGTCTGCAGATCCTGCAGACTTTATAATATTAACTACCTTGAGATTTTAATAAATCATAGCAGCTGTTGCTAGTATGATTCAAGATCTAGGGAAACTTCACCTCACTCCAAGATTTCTGGGAAAATAGATTCATTTTAATAATGTTTGGATGAAGTCAAAATAGAAAGGATGAAAATATGTTTCAGCATAAGGGTGGAGGAAACGGGAGGTTGGAGAGTCTTCAGAGAGATGTCTGTGCTGAAAAACTAGGATCTCAACACATGCCGGAGTATTGAGCTCTCCAAAAAGATCAGCCGAGCTTGGAATAAGAAATAGAATAGATAGAATTTTGGATCCTCCCTGAAGTTTAAACATAAAACTATTCCCCCAGAGGTTAAGGAGCTTGATCTGACTGCATTAAGTTCAGAATATCATATGCAAAGGAAAAGCACCTGTTCCTAAAGAGTTTATCCCCAGTGCCTCTTCAGTTCTGCTGTAATTTCTTCACCCACTTCGCTTGCACATCCTTTTCCAACACACATGTTCTCTAAGACAGCTTTTCTGCAGACCAGGGCATGCTTGCTGAGACTGAGTTAAAGGATAGGCCGGAGCTTTTCCAGCTAATCTGCCACTGGTTGGCTCTGAGGTCGCTTGTTGGCCTCTCAGAGTGTGGGTTAAGCTGAATTTAACAATATATACCATATATAATATCCTGAACTATTAGACACAGACCTTTGCATATTAATTAAAAATACATATTCACTGAAACGCAAGCTGTACTTTGAAAAAAAACAAAGGCCATGAAAACGTAAAGACAACAGCTCCCTTAACTGAATTCATTCCAGTGAAGAAATGAAATTCAGCGTGGAGAAAAGGTGGCTGCAGCACAACCTCACTGCAGCCTTTCAGTACCCAAAGGGGGTCTATGAACAGGAGGGGAACTCTTTGAAAGAGTAGATAACAGCAAAACAAGGGGAAATGGTTTGAAGTTGAGGGAGGGAAGATATAGGTTGGATGCCAGGGGCAAGTTCTTCACTATGAGAATGGTGAGGTGCTGGAACAGGCTGCCCAGAGATGTTGTGGGTGCCCCGTCTCTAGAGGTGTTTGAGGCCACATTGGATGGGGCCTTGGGCAGCCTGGTCTAGTATTAAATGGTGGAGATTGGTGGCCCTGAATGTGGCAGGGGGGTTGGAGATTCGCGGTCCTTGAGGTCCCTTCCAACCCTGGCCATTCTGTGAAAGCAGCTGACATTATTCTTAACTTCTCCTGAATTTTAGATTTCTTAGAGGACATCACATGCTATGCGGTTTGACCTTTTGTGGCAACCATTTACCTTTCCTCTTGTAGGCTGTTTCTAGCAACAAATGACCTCTAGCATCTTTGACTCATTTTAAGTTTGGAAGTAATTATCTCCAATTGAAAGAGCATTTATATAAGATGGCTGTACTGGTATAAAAATCTATGTAACCAAAGGTTTTACATAGACCATTTCATTAATGGCCATCTAAAGAACAGCACTGGACATTCCAGTATCACATAAGGAAAACAAAGAGTTGTAATATCAGCTGATCAAACAAACGAAAGAAGTTTAAAATCAGCTATCCTCACCTTAAAAATTGTAGGCTTCTAAAAATGCTAATGGCACTGACATACAGAATTGCGTATATAAAATACAAATCTTAAAATCTTTTTTTATACATCCACATTTGCATGAAAATACAAAACAGTTATAAATGAAATTAAAGCATAAGAACACCAGACATGAGCATATATACATTTCAGTTATGCATGCTGTAAACACCATTATTAAAATATGATATACCAACCATCGCTGACGCTAAGCACCCAGGAAAGCATAAGAGGATAAAAGAGATAAGGAAAAAACATATTTCAATTTGTATTTTACACTACTGATTCATACAACCTACACAAACAACTTATATATGGCAACTAAATTTAAAACTGATCTAAAATGATAGAAGAATGTCATAGAAAAGTAACTTCCCATAGCTTTTGCTTTGTCCAAGTCAAAAGTGAATTTTTTTCCACATCCTGTCAGTTATGCACTTGACTTAACTGAATGAAATGTGTACAACTTTTTCATCAACACAAAAGTCTACTAATACATTTTCAGTCAAGGTGTCAAGGTAAGCTAGGTTCTCTGTGATATACATTCACAGATCAAACAAAAAAGAATAAGACATGTATGCACACAACACAGCAGACTACTTAACTAATGCAATATTATTTGCAACATAACATAGCAATACATAAAGATTAGTTTGTTTTGTCTTGTGTCAACAGAGTAGAAATTGATGTTGAGTTCTCCATTTCATGACTTATCAAAAACCTTTGATAAAGATTTCTACCGATCTATTTCTTGATGCTTCATAACATGACAGCACATAGAAGTCATAGCCTAAGAATATAAAATTTTGACTCGACACTATTCATAGTAAGAATTGCTAGTGTTTGATATTTACCTTTACACAGCACAGTATTCATAGATACTGTAGTTCACCTAGAACTGCCTATACTTAATGGAAACACAGATCTCTGTCAATGTGAAGTTCCTATGATTGTCTTGGTTGTTTTGTTTTTGTTTTCTACCAAAGGCCTTGATTGTGAATTCACAAAACACAAGTAATTCCAATGTAAGCGGAAAGAAAGCAGCTTTGGCTTTTAGCTGCTATCTAAAATTACACGGGCCAGAGTGCAGACGATCAAGAATATACATTTCTTATTTCACAGCGAGAGGAATTTTCTCCAGTGGTGCCATCCACATGGAAAACTCCTCCACACATAAATTTAGATGTCTCAACGAACAGGAATTTGAAAATTTTGCTTAGGAAAATTAAACAGTAGTTAATTGTATTGAAGCCATTTAAAAATGTCTCTGCTGTTCTCTAGGCAGAAGGGAGGAAATCAGTGAGCCTGAGAAACTTGCTCTCGTACTTCATGGGCTCTCAAGACACAAGAGGTCTGGAAGCCCTGGGAACACTTTCTGCTGAGGAGCCAGCATCCTAGAAATTCAAGTTCCCAGTGTTTTCAGCCTTCCATTTGCTGGCAGGCTGCTGCGAAAAAAAAACAGATAAGCAACCTGGCAAGGAAATGGCAGTTTGCAGTTTGAGACTTAGCCCACAGTTTGAAGGCTTTCTCCTAGAACTGCTTCAAATTGAAACCAACATCTAAACAGATAGCATAGAGTATTTCAGAATCAACAAACATTTCCTGATGAAAAAAGACCTGAGTTCTTGAATCAGTTCTCAGTAGTCTGTGGCCCAAAATGCAGTAGTCAGGTATGACTATAAAGGCAGCAGAAAATTTCTGAGGATAACAAGGTCAGCACATATGTAGGCCTCTAACAACAGCTCTTTTTCAAACTTGCTCAGTCCCTTCCAAGCAAAGAAAAGCAGTGTCTATTTTGCTTACCGTGCTGGTAGGCCTTCAATAATTTCAGGTGTCTGCCTGTGTTATTACCATGCAATAACATCTGTGAAGATCTTCAGGCTGATAAATTCTAATTCCCCATGAGTACAAAAATATTGGTTGTCTTCCTTTTACATATTTTTTCCCTCTCCTCTATGTATCTATGAGTGTACAGTCTGGAATTTGTTTTAAAATCACCGTAAAAATGTACTGCAATAATATTCACACATCCAGAGAAAACTGCATAATTGATAACTCAATGGTTACCTGCATCTCGTCTAGCTTGGACTGAATGTCTGGAGGGAAATCTCCTGCTCCGCAGCTAAAAGGGTCAAAAGGTTCTGCCCCAAAAAGGTCTCTCTCTGGAAAAAGAGAAAAATGAGTCACTGAGGGAAACGGAATGAGCTATGACCTGCTCTTTGAAAAACTCAGCTTACATCTTACAAGCTGAATAACAGCACCTTCAGATATGAAAACGATTAACTGCAGTTTTTAAACATCCAAATTCAGAAGTCAGGTCTTGATTAGTTTTCCAAGACTGGATACTCAACAATTTTTTTCCAATAATGCAGCAACTTCTGTTTAAGCCTTTATGGACCTTTCATTAAATGGTTGTGCTTTCTAGAGGAATTTTAGGGACCTGAAGAGAAGAAATTCCAGTCTGAATAAGGGAGCTTCCACTGAAGTGCCTTCGGGAATCAGAGAGTTTGAATATTTCATAATTGAAGAGGGAACAGCTGGATGTCAACTGCCAAATTTCATTATGTCAGAAGCAAATTCTCACTAACAAATTAGCCTTCATACCTCTTCATATCTGCCACTTCTGACCATCAGGTTAAGGACTTTTGTAAATTACCTTTACTCATGGAATTTCAGTTCTGCATTTGATAGAGTTTCTCAGTGCGCTGTTAGTAGTAAATAGAACTAATTACTAGAGTTGTAATTCTCAACCAAAGAACAGGTTGAATAAAAGAAACAAGGAAGAACAAGGAAGAATAAAAGAAAATACAGAAGACCATGACATGCAGCTTGCCCGAAAATTCCACTAAAACTGGATCCATAAACGCAATGACTGCACTTTCTTCCTCTGTCATGTCGTACGGTTTCTCACTTTGAAAAGCAGGATCCTTTTCACTGCTGAGGTGCTTTCTTTTTTTTTGCATTTGTGTGTTTCTTTTTTGAAACACCTCCAATCATATATATTTTTTTCCTTACTGGAACTGTGCAAGGCTAGTTCGTCCTCACATCTGACAGCCCAGATATTTTTACTTCTCAGTAATGGGAATATTTTTCTCTACATGACGGAGTGCCATCTATACAGACATGTTCTCTCCCATACTGTACTGACTGAAATTAGCATTAAACACATTTTGATGAAATGAAAACTAGCATTAAACACATTTTGATGAACTAGCATGAAACACACTGATGATAACACTCATAAAACAAAGTTAACACAGCTTTGTAATTGCTGAAGAGAATATTTAACTTCCTAACCTTCACAGTTGTCCAGGAAGAAACCTGGTAATCAGACTGCCTAACTCAAAATCACATTGGATTTGTGAGTAGGGAAAAGGACCCTTAATATCTAAGAAATTATTATTTTTCTGTTTTAGCTCCAGATTTTACTCTTAACATACAAGATATTCAAGCTGATAATTGCCAACCTGACATTAAATCCATGCTGTTACATCACATTAAAAGGGCTGAAGAGTGTTAATAAAGCTAAATAAAAGTCTTTATTTCATCATTTATAGAGTCCACATTCCAGGCCTGTACTTGTCTAGGCTTCCCAACATTCTATTCTGCAAATAAGTTTCTATGGGTTTTGACCTAATATTTGGTGTTACCACACCTGCATTGCACAGCATATTTCTTAAATAATTAGAATATTATGTTCCCATAATACTGTACAAGAATAAGTAGGAACTGGAGTAATTACACATTTATGCCATGGCTTAGCAGCTTAGCACTACCACATAGGAACAAGGGATGACCCAGATCTGACAACCTCATTCTGAAAGCCCACTTGAGTAAAAATAAAAAGTCTAGCCTTTCCTGGCAGAGGCAGACTACCCTTAAGCAAAACAGATATCAACGAGAATAACCTAATAGAAAAAGTAGGATCTACCTCATCCCTTGCCTCTCTCACAGCCAAAATGGGTCTGCTCAAGTACAGTAAGTACTATCAGCACTATCCTTACATGTACTTACATGTTCTTATACTCCTACTCAAGAGATATTCAGATGTGCAGCAGCTTTAACTTTCAATCTGACCTTTACTGGGGAAAAAATGATTATGTTTTATGTCCCACCTAAGTTTATTTGCTCATTATCTAGGTCCATTTATTTCTTTTTTTCTTCTCTTTGTTCCTCTTTTTCTTAAGTTCTTTTTACCCTAAAAAGGGAATCACAGAATCACAAAGAGCTGATAGTTTTCTATGTGGTCAGATAGCTTAAAGCAGCCAGTTTCAATACCAAGCCTTTGCAAACATTCAAGGAATGTATTTATGAAAGAACAGTAAGGAAAACAGTTCTTTAATTTCCAAGTACTGTAATTACATCACTATTTTTGAAAGCAAGTATTATGAACATTTCTCTGGACATCTTATTCATGCTCAAAGTATTATGCTTTTGTTTATGACAGCATTGAGCTAATTAAAAGGAGAATGGTAGAAGTTTTAACTCCTTCAGTGGAACATGCCTTCGTGTCAAAGGTAATTTCATTCAAATTGTTATTCAAGGCAGACGTTAAAATTGAACAGAGAAGAGCTCATTATCAATGATGGAGCTACTAAGCCTTGCATAGAATCCAATTTTAAAGATAGTTATCTCCTAGCTGAATTTCCCTTAAGTGTTTTGGGAAACCATCTATCTCTATCACAATTTGATATCCATTTCAATGAAATGGCTGTAAAAGTCTGTAGGACAACAGGCTCATTGCTTTCCTGCATTTTAAGTTTGTGTGTTGTCAGAGGGACTGCATTGCTGAGTCAGAGCACCATGAAATACTTTCAGTCAGTATTTCTCTTTGAAACAGAAGATGAATATGTGGAAACAGGATGAAATTTATTCACTGCAAAGCTCCACTGTTGCATGGCATTTCCATAACCTTTGCTGCTGGTGTTTACTGTCCATTTTTTAGCTCCATTTTAGCAGAAACAACACAAATCAGTAATATTTTATTTTATGCTGAAGTACTGGCAAGAAAACATGTTAAACATAATGACAGTAGCTTGCCTGGCACACTCTCAAAAATACCTGTAATGTAGATAGGCATTTCTTTCTTCAATACAAACGGGTAAATCTCTGAAAGCAATCCCTTTGAGCAACACATATAATTTCCTTTCCCTCCTTCTGGAAAATCCCTTTCCTTAATGCAGAAAAATAAAGTCACTGCTTGGAAAACCAGTGAACAAATTCAAGAACATAAAATAGTGATGCTTCACATCTGTAACTCAAAGTGCCGAAAGACATGAACAAGTAGTAAGTTGTTATTTCTGTGGCTGACCTGACATTCAGGACAAGAAATAACCAACACTGGAGAATAGCAGTCTACATTCTGTAACAAACTCAGAACTAGCAAGAATTAAACCAACAAAACTCTGCAAATATTTGGCATTTCTGCTTTGTTTTGCATCCCAAACTTCTTTACATTAGCTATCATCCAGACACAGAGTTATGCTGATATATGCTTTCCCCAAATGTCCTGGAGCAGCTGGAACGACAAATACAAATTAATCCACTGAAGATAAGTACCCAAGAAAATATTTGGAGTAAGCTAAGGGAATGAGGGCCAGAAAGCCTTTCCCTTAGCTGCAGGCTACTCCATACTTTTTTCTTTTGTAATTATTACAGCATAACAAGTGGTTCTATCATTATTCTAACAACAGATTCTGAACAGATAAATCTTGGAGCAGATTTCTACACCTGCCAGTTGCAACCTTGGTTTTTGTAGGTCCTTTAAGTGAAAGAAATTTTAAGTAATTCGACAGCATGTTTCCAGTTCTTTTCTGAGATACAACAATGCTGTGCCAACAAGAAATATACAAATTTCTCTTCACAATAACTTTCAAGGACCCTTGCAGTCCCTTACTCAATGCTCACAAGAAGCAGCAGCATAGTGTCAACACACCATTTTTGGTTGCTTTATGTGTACATCAGTTTTTCAGTTAAGCAATTATTATACTGGGCTGCAATGCTTATGTTTAGCCTGTAAGCCATGGACTGTAAAATCTGCTCTAAAAGTAGTAATCCTCTGCAACATTTCAGGTTAAAAATCAAACTCTGGAAAGGGCTTTTGTCTGTAAAAGAATCACCCCTTTTGTAATTGTTACCTAAAGGGACATCATGTATTTGCTCAATCTACAAATTCCTGCCCAAAGAACATTACATTTTCTCCTTTAAAAAAGAAAAAAAACCAACCATCCTACCATTACTGACATATCTAGTAGTGCACAGACATTTACTGAGTAGTTGTGTGGCTGTACTGCTAAACAGGAATTGAAAACTTCAAGAATCTTTTCACTTTTTAAAAATCTCAAATGATTTGGAGATAACTATCTTTCAAAGGAAGGCCGCTGCTGCACTCTTAGAGTGCTAGGCTTTACGAACTATTTGCTGAGAGCTGCTCAAAGCAAAAGGTATTTATAACTCAATTATACAGTTATATAGTTATAAAAATCTAAAAAACTAACATGATCTTACAATTCTCAAGGGCTGCGGCAAAGGGAGTGAGAAGAACATGAAGACATGACCTCAGAATAAGTGAGACTGCACTTTGGCTCCTTTGGTTCCCACCCATCTGACTTGTATTGGAGAAAGAAATGCCAGTCTGTCTCTACTGGCACCAATAACACATAAAACAATGTATTATTGTACGCTATTAGTACTGCAAAATTACTCAGATTGAATGAAGTTCTTAAGGGATCTGAACTTTCTCATCTAACACAGTAAGTACTTGTTTGATTAGAAAGTGTTCTACTTCCTAACTGCCTTTTTTAAATACATCAAAAGATGTTAATAGCTGATGAATGCAACCATTTGCAATGTACAATGTACCAAGCTGTGGGGAATATTAGGAAATTAGAATATTAGGAAAAACCTCTTCTCTGCAAGAGTGGTGAAGTACTGGAAAAGATTGCCCAGGGAGGTGGTTGAGTCACCACCCCTGGAGGCGTTTAAGGATAAGGAAGATGTAATACTTAGGGACATGGTCTAGCAAGCAACACTGGTGGTAGGTGGACTGTTGAACTAGATGATATTAAAGGTCTTTTCCAACCTTAATGACCCTGATTCTGTGACATAGCCTGAAAATGCATGGCTCAAATAGTAAACAGACTGCTACATCACTCTGTAATCCTCTCTCCGAAGCAAGGCACACAGAGGAGTGCACAGAATTAGCAGGCAGCTGGTGAGATGTGGCACTGACCTGCTACATCTCTGAAATCTGTAATCATAACTGAAAATCAAATGAAATAAATGCAAAATAAACACAATGCTTTTAAATAGTGCATATCATTAAGTTATCCCCTTTTTTTTTTTTCTGTATTGTAAAGCCCACTGTTTAAACAAATACAGAGACCAGAAAAGTAGAGTACTCAAAATTACTCTGACTTCCATGTAAGCCCACAAAATTTCTAGCAGTGATTTCAATGGCACTGAAGCAGGACAACAGCTAAAACCAAACATCTCACCTTGTAATCCAAGTTACTACTTTTGAAGCTGCATATGCACATTGAAATCAATTTTATGGCAGTATCTACAGTTTGATGAGAAAAACTCAATTTTTTTTTTTGGAGGAGGGGAGGGCATTGAAGCTGTGTACATAAGGCACAAGGGAAGATGCTCATCAACTCAAGTTTTACAATTTATCATTACAACTGTGCTTGCATTCATACCTGAAAATTCTCTATATTAGGAGTGTTACCCAAAATGGGCAGAAACTCTTCAAATATGATCTTATACTGCAGCAACCAGTGTCATTAATGTTCTTTATCCATACTAAAATAAGTACAAATGAGAGAAAATGCTACATGCACACAAGTATACCTACAACCTCCAGCACCACTTGTGTGTATGCTTCCTCCTCCTCCCTGAGCCGTTTCCAAAGCTTTCAAAAATTCTCTGGATTCCTACAAGTTTTCCAGTTAAGCTGAAAATATTATCCTAATTGCCTTTAAGCATCTGAAAACTAAAATTGCTATTATTAAACCATCTTTAAGAGATTTTCAGGAGCGGTCCACAAATCCGCAGAATTTCATCAACTATAACTGAAAAGCAAAGCAGTACATGACATGATAAGCGGTGTTAAAAATATTATTTCATTAGACTATATTTTGATGGATTTCTTCAGCTCTCCCTTCATCATCATCATCACATTCACATACTGCATTCCCAAGAAACACAGGTTTTAGATGCTATAGCTATAGCAAGGAAAGAACAAGAAACTGAAAATATTTCCTCAATTAACTACAAGAAACACATAGCAAAAGAAAGGCCACATTATCATCCCCAGACAGACTCCTTCAAACTGTTTAAATAATATTTTCAGCAAGTAAATATATTTATAATGCAACTTGGCAGCAACATCAACTTTAGGAAGATGGTATTAAAATTGAATGGTATTATCAAACGTAACTTAGAAAACCTGTATCTGACTTTTCATGCAAAACATGTTTTTTTTTTTTTTTTTAATGTTTTCCTAAAAAATGTAAGATTAAGTAAAAATTAGGTCAGTTGTCAAAGAACTTACTGATCTCTGCAGATCTACTGGGTACTGGAGGAGGCTGTGTGCCATTGCGAGTAGGTGTTGATGACTGAGGGGATATGGGAGAAAAGGGAACCATATCAAAGATGTCAGTGGAGGGCGATTTAGGTGTCACACAGCTTGCCTACAACAGGACAATAAATATTAGGGCAACGTTTCACATGGAAAAAAAAAATAAAAATCACAACACTGATTTTTTCAGCATGCAGATAAGAATTACAGTTTTTAAAAAGATGAAAAAAAACCAAAACATCAGCATGCACAAAACAGCTCCTGACACCAAGCAATTGGCATTTGCAGTTCAGAGTCTCAGACATGCTAAAACTCTCCAAATACATAAGCAGCATTGTAAACATTCCATTTTCAATAAATCTAGTACAACCAGACATGTATCACAGTTAAACCTGAAAAAGCTGGTAATTAACAGTTCTATACTCTCAAACTATGAATACAGATGTGTTCAACAAGACCCGGTTAAGAAAATATGGCAACAATGATATACTACACTCCTGAATGCACAGAACAAGAAGCTAAAATTAAAAGACACGATCCCAATTATTTCTTCTTCACTAATTCTTTCTTGTGCCATCAAAAATCCCACAGGGATGGAAATGTCACATGTATTTTTTGGTAAGTAACAACCTGGACATACAATACACTGAATATTGGTATCAGAAATTAAACTCTTATCTTTCATTGTGAAACAGAAGTGAAGTCATTCACAAAACACAAAACTTTGATAGGCTTCTAAAAAAATACTAGATAAGCAAATAAACCCTAAATACAACAATCGTGATCACTCTACAGCCTTATTTAACTTCCAATCACCCATTCCTCCTGCCATCAGTACATTAATTGAGGACTTTTCAATTGACATTAATTGACCCAAAACAGGTGATGAAATAGTTTAGAATTCTGATTGACAAGCTGAAGGCAAAATATATATGCAAAATGATAATGATAATTTCATTAATTAGACAACACAAAAGAAAAGCCTTCTGTGTATGAGAAAGGCTGTGCTGTCAGGCAGAGTTTGATAAAATAAGATAAGTTTGACTAGAATAATCACATAAAAATTTATAATTACAGTTTTAATTAGACAGACTCCTTTATTAAAAAAAAACAACATGAATATCACAATGTGGCAAATAGATTTATCTTTCGCAATGCTGAGAGTTTCAGGGCCCGAAAACTCGATTTGCTATGCTTTTTTTAGTGTCTCTGCTGCAGTAATTGAAGCTGTCACTCATAACACACAACAAATCTCTAAGGCAAACCCTTGGGAAGCCTCAAACTGCCTCTCCTCCTCTCCAGAGGCTGCACTGGCTGCAGATAGGGAAAGCACTTTGACCCATGATCTTTCACTCTGTACACTGCTTAAAAATGAAAGTCTACTTCTAAGTCCAACATTACCTATTAGGTGTTTTGAATTTATACTTTTAAATTTGGATTTGGAAAGATCTGAAAGACTTCAATACTTCATAAAAAACAAGGATATTTCTACCTAGATGTACTGAAATGACAAGCATAAAAGCAAGCCACATGTCACATGCTGCTTTTTTCCTATTAAAAAAAAACAATAAATGCTAGAATTCTTTCCATCTTGGCATTCCCTCGCAGGATCAGAGCTGAACTTCATAAAATAACTTGCAAGATTTTTATATATGCAGAACTCCTCCTGACCTCAGTATGAGCTTGCTCAGCAGTTTCAACGATTGTTGTGGAAAAGGTATCAGTGAATAATCATTAGACACAAGTGGCTCTTGCTGCTGCTTTTAGTAACCTTGCATTAACCTTCTGGTGCTTTCATGCACTTTCAGAGATTCAGTAAAATGTTGGAGGAGATTGTCCAGTGCCATCTGCTGCCACTAAGAGCAGGGCAATGCACGTACTTGACTCACCACAAGCATACTAAGACATCCCATTCTTCACAGAAACAAAACCATGCCTGACTGTAGATAGGTTTCGCCTGCATCAGTGAGGCAGGATCAGCTTCAGTATGTAAGTACATGGCATGTATGTTAATCTGCACTGCCCATTAATGTTGGTGAATCATCCCAGAATGACTCAGAGATTGTGAACGCCAGTGTAGATTCTGCTTATTTGCTAAGTATTTATGGATATGTAGATGCTACAATAAATAAGCAGCATTTATGTTTAGTCGTAAGTCTTTTTAGCATGAAAGCAAAAAATCAGACTTTACAATGACATTTTTTGCTTATGTTACTTAGTTGAAGTTGCTAGACATTTTGACACTACTCAATTTCTTCAAAACTAAAATTCCATAATTTAAATAAATGCGTATTTTAAATGCTTATGAACACAAGAAGCACTTGTATTTCGTGAACACATGCAGAAAGCCATGGTTTGCCAAATACAGCCAGATGTTATCAGCAAATGGAAGAAATGTTGAGTATTTAGCACATTGCCATGAGAAAGCAGACAATATGCTTCGTTCAAATTTTAAAATAATTTCAAGCCTTCATTTTGCACAGTTTTTATAAAGTATACTAAAATGTATTGAACAGCTGATTTCTTTTCCAATAATTTATGAAGGAAAAACGTTCAGATTGGATCTTTAGAATTGCTTGTTTTGAATAGTTGTCCTTCATGTAATGATTTTAACAAAGGACTGATTTTTGAGAGATTCATTAATAGACTAAATTAAAAATGTTGCTGAAATAAGAACTTATATTTTAGGAGTCTAAGAAAAAAAAAAGCTACATAAAAAATAGAGCAAGTCTTCCCAAATTCCATATTTTAAGAGAATTCCAAGAGAATCAAAGATAAATTTGATCGGCCCTTGCATCACTGTACAAAATGTGAAATTCTAACACGTTAATACACAGCTGAGAAAGAACAGGAAAGTCAAAAAAGAAAAAGCTTTTGCACAGCAGCATTACACGAGGTCTCGGACAACTGTATTCACTGGATGGCTTTGGAAGACCACTTTTTGAAGGTGGTGGTATTAACAATCCAGCTGGTAGTCTAGAGTCAGGAGAACTCCTAGGAGTAAGCGTAATGGAAGAGATATCTAAACAAGGAGGTGGTGAATCCTCATTGTTACACCAGAAAAAAGTAGAGGGTCTTTGAAACATATGTTCATCATTATCACACTTTATGTGCAGCAGCTGAAAAGGAATCACAGAAAGAGAAAACATTCTGAGGAACTGAATGAGGCATCAGGGAAAGAAGAATAAAAAGACATTTCATACTTCAAAAAAGATTGTCTGCAACTTGTCAGTACTCTAGTGACAGGATACAAAACCAAATAATACTTCAGAAGCAAATCTACACAGTGCTGCAACAAGAGGTAGCCCAGCATTAATTGCAGTGAAGATGACTTGCACCTCAATAATCACATCAAAATAAAACAATGACAGGGATTCTTTCAGAAGTGGACATTTCAGGTGCGCTGCCAAAAGTCCAAATACACAAACTATATCTCACATCTGCACATTTGTACAGGCAGTTAAGCATATATCATGGAGAGTAAAGTTACTGTAGTGATTATGGCACAGGCCAGAGTTTTTTTGCTCCACACCAGGAAACACCTATTTATATCCCACAGATATTTACAGAAAAAGAAATATTTACATTTTCCTACAGTAGAAACTAACAGCACATACATTCTAAGGCTTACATTAACATCAGACTTTCTTTCGTTTCCTTAACTGTAGAACTTGAGAGCAAACATTTACAGACAGTAATCTCCTTCTGCTATCTTTTGTGTGCACATGAATAATTCAACGTAGAAAACAGTATTTTCAGTAGGTATCTCAAAAGCAGCAAATGAATTCTTATTACTGTACAACAGCAGCACAGACCCAGAGCAAAACAAAACTTCACTGCTGGGGAAATAAAAATGTTGAGGTGTGTAGCATTCTTTGAATCTCTGAAATCTCACAGAACAGCTCAAATAACAGTCATAAGCACTGGAACAGCTGGTAAGAGCATCCACCTAAGCTGACAAAATGCTAATTGCATGGTTCTGGTCTGAATTAGACAGACAAGCTTGAATCAGTCTGCCTCTTACGATCAGAGTCTATTTACCTCCACATTCCAGCAAGATTCTTTGCATTTTGAAAGGGAAGCTGAGGGTTTTGTCCACCTTGATTCAATAAGTAATTTTTTTGCCTAAAGATGTCTGCAAATCATAAAAGGTTACCAAAAATTTGGATCTTGTCCAGGTGAAACACAGAGCCTTTATGACTGGGTTTGGAAATAAAAGGCAAAGAGTAATGTCTTCAAATACTTGGTTTAAGAAACATGCCCAACCAACCCTTTTAGGGGACCAAACAGCAACTTCTGCTGTATATCAAATAAATATAAAGTATATCAAATGAAATAGCAATAAAATGCAGATAGGATGCAAAACTATAAGGATGAACTGAATACAGATATTGTAAAATTGAAAGATCAGAAAACAAAGTAAGAAAGAACACAAGCACCTTCCCCCTTGGCACTCTTAATGGAAAAGACGAATCAAGTGATATGCCTAAACACATTCCAGAACTGTTTTCTGAATTCTGCAGTTCCAACTTCTATTTTGGTTTTGCTTCCTTTTCGTACTTCATACATACGTTAAAGCTTTTGAAGAGGCTGAGGCACCCTATGCTTCTAGGTCACTATTTAACATTAAAATGGTCAAGTCCATAAATATCTAACAAAGAGGAAAAAAAGGTGAAGCTTTGGCAACAATGCCAGAGTAAGAAGCACTTACTCTTAGAGTAAGAGTAGTCATGTAGATATTACAGGCCTATTTTCCTGAATATTCCTTTTCTTCCTATCTGAAGTCAGAGTCATGCAGTTGTCATAACTTCCTTCTTTGCTCAGCCATGTTGCTAAAGAAAACCTTCAAGGTACCCAAGACAAGCTTCAGCCACAATGAAAATACATGAATAATTTCATATCAGACCAGTGTTGAGTGATGCTCCTCACAGATTGCTGCTAGGACTGTTGTTATTTAACATCTTTGTAGGTGACATGGGCAGTGAATCAAGTGCACCTTCAGGTTTGCAGACAACACCAATCTGAGGGTGCAGTTGACATACTAGAGGAATGCTACCCAGAGGAACCTGCACAGGCTTGAGAAGTCACACCATTCCAATCTTATGAAGTTCAACAAAGCCAAGTGTAAGATATTGCATCTGGGCTGGGGCAATCTCAAGCACAGGTACAGGTTGGGCAGCAAATAGGTTGGGAGAAGCCCTAGGGAGAAGGATTTGGGGGTGTTGGTTGATGGAAGATTCAACATGAGCTGACAATGTGCACTTGCAGTCCTGAAGGTTTACTATCCTGGATTGCATCAAGATAAGTGTGACCAGAAGCTTGAGTGAGGTGATTCTGCCCCTCTATTCTGCTTTCGTGGGACCCCACCTGGAGTAGTGCATCTGGTTTTGGGGCCCCCAACACACGGACATGGAGCTGTGGGAGCAGAGGAGGGCCATGAAGATAATCAGAGGTCTAGAGCACCTCCTACAGGGACACGATGAAAGAGCTGGGACTTTTCAGCCGGGAGAAGAGAAGACTTGGAGGAAACCTTCAAGTGGCCTTCCAGTGCCTGAAGGGGGCCTACCGGAAAGCTGGAGAGGGACTTTTTATAAGCGCATGTAGAGACGGGAAAAGGGAAAATGGTTTTACACTGGAAGAGGGTAGATTTCAGCTAGATATTAAGAAGAAATTCTTGACTGTGAGGGCAGTGAGACACTGGAATAGTTTTCCCCCTTCCTAGAAGTGTTCAAGGTCAGGCAGGATGGAGCTGTGAGCAATCTGGTCTAGAGGGAGGTGTCCCTGCCTATAGCAAGGGGGTTGGAATTAGATGATCCCAAAGATCCCTTTTAACTGAAACCCTTCTATAATTCTATGGTCTCTTCAGAGGTTTCTTAGTGGCCTAGTGGGGTTTGCTATTCATTCTGTTATAAAAGCTGGAGGTGCTCACTGCATGCAGCTGCTAAGCCACATTAAGGCTGTGCGTAAGCTAGCAGCTAACCCATGCTGCCCTCCTAATACCACCAACAGTATAATGAGCAAAAGAAAAAGACATCATGAAATAGCGCTTCCAGGGAAGCACTGATCTTTGGAAGTTGGATTTATACATAGGAGCAGTATCCAAATACTAACGACATAAACTCAAGCAGCCTCATCATAGGCAAATAACAAAATGAAAATCAGACCATCCTCATATAATCAAATCCAAATGCAAGAAAGACCTGTGATTAATGTATTGCCAAACCACTAAAAGAGATGAAAAGTAAACAGCACAGATACATGAGTAATGGAAATTTCAGCTGTACATGCAAGGGAGAGAGAAAGAAAAAAACCACATCCATCCCATACCAACATTTCTCATGACCTATGTAAGTGCAGCTATAAAGGAAACCATCCTAAGGAAACCATACTTTATAAGACATTATGCCCTTCACTCATTCATTCAGGAAATTACAAAAAGTGACCCTACCTATTGAATAGCACAAATATGTTCATATTTTAGTGACTGACTTTTTCAAGTTCTAGCAAGTCCAACATACTTAAAAACAACAACCTCAAAGAAAACCAGGAAAAAAAAAAGCTAAGCAATTTATTATTTACTGACAAACAAATCTAAATAGTTAAAACAGATAAAAGAAAGCATGAAGAAGACTGACAGTTTCATGTTCAATTTTAAAAACAAATGCTACTCTTAACTTTTGCTATACAATCTCATTTTCCCTTTTTTCATTTCCAACTATGTTCTCACTGCTTTTAATGGCTTCTTTAATGGTTCAGAAAATTTTTTCCCATACCGTTTATGAACAGATAAAAAAGAGAACTAAATTAGGCTGATGTTACTTTGACAATTTATCTAGATTTACAGCAACCAAAGAAACATTGTAGTAGCAACACTGTCTATCAAGAAATAAAAGACTTTTGGTACATGTATCCTTCAGAAGCAGAAACATACTGCTGTCAGTACATTGCAAAGTAAACATTACACAAATACAAAAGGGTACATAATTGCATTTTTCATGTACATTATTTGTACCCATTACAGCCTGCCATTAGTTAAATTAAGTCCTCAAATAAACCCTTACACATCCTTCAAAAGATCAGTGGTAGGAGGAAGAATCAGGAAAGCAGCTTTAGACTGTTTCCCTTTGTACTTCACAAAACACAAGCCTATAGTTTGACCAATAGAAATAAAAAGTCTTCTTTTTACAGGTTATTTTGGTTATTCTTTACAATTTTTATGAGTGGATTTTTCAAGGGAGAGATCAAGGGCTCACACAAACACCCTAACAGCCATTCACTATCATGTAAAAAAAGAATGCATTCACAATATGTAATCATGAATGCTTCAGCTAGTAAAATACTATCTTCCAAAATACTTCTAACTCTGTACCTCATGTGAAGCTGTAGCTTGTAAGTCACTGTTTGCATTTTTCCTCTCTGGCATTTTCTTTTTGGATGTTCTAATATCAGGGAAGTCGATGAAATAAAACATTAAGAGTAGGACATGAAGTTTCTAATGGTATTTTTCATCGACTTCATTTTCTTGTATGAAGGGACAAGATTAAGTGGGACATACTGGTGACAGGTGGGCAATAAGAACGGGTGATCTTGGAGGTCTTTTCCAACCTTGTAGATCCTATGATTAATTAAAAATTAACAGAAGGACTAATGTGTGTAAAATCATTACAGAAATCAAAACTGATCAACTTCAGGAGGAAGAAGCAGGATTGAAGAAATGCTAGATTGGGTTGCACACAAACACTCCCATGCTCTTCAAGTGACTGCCAAGAGGAAAAGATACTGCTTAACAAACCACGGCAGTGTCATCACTTGGTGTCCATGAGAAAACAGGCTTCACTGTTTAATAAATATTATACATCACAAGAATGAGCATGTCACGTTCATAACATACAGCATGGATATTATCTGCAGACAAGCAAATTTTCCCACCTGTTCAACTGCAAATGTTTATAAATCGACTCACATGAAGTATGATCCCCTATGATGAATATCCTGCTTCATTTATGCATAAAAATATTTCCATATTTAACAAAATACTGTACTGTCAGGAGACCTTAAAATTTTACTTTGACCAAGTGATCACAAGACAGAGCTGTTATGTTTCTTTTTTAATTTCGGAGAAATTTTGCAGCATTACTACAGGCATTTTAAAAAACATGATACTTAAATGTTTAAATTTAAGTTCAGAAAATATCCCACCTATTCTCCACTAATTGCATTTTATAAAAGGAATTGATCTTTTTCTTCACTGAATTTAAATAGAGAAAAGAAAGCTGCTGCTTTCCTCTAATAGGACTGGAGTTTTACAGAGTTTCTCTTTAAACAGTGGTTGATATGAATTGAAAGTATATAAAATTCATTTCTAAAAATAACAGACAGTGAATAATCTTACGAAATGTTTGTAGTCTACTTGCAAACAAACTTGCTGCTCAAATAGTAAGAGATGAAATAATCATCACCAAACTACACCCACTGCTCTTCCAGGCACCTTTATCACAAATGGTCTTGAAAACATACATGATTCCTCTTCTCTGCACTGAAGTCTCTTCACAACCTCATTATTCTGTTCCTTTATTTATTTTCAACCTTTTGTGTTTATACATACTTACTTTTCTGCTAGCACAATTAACAGCTTTGATACAGTCTGGATACAAAATAGTTCAGAGGAAACCAACTTGAAGCACTCTCTTGATCAGGAACAGAAGTTAATAGTGTTTGATGGTTAGGACTATGCTCCTACATGTGATTTAAGAAAGACATTCTCCTACAATTGCCTTTTTTTTTTTTAAATTGCATCCACACAACTCATAGAAAAATCACTTAGGTTGGAACATCACCTAACGTGAACTCCTGCTCAAGCAGGACTTGAACTGAATTTGTGGAGGGCCACGTTCAGCAAAGTGCTGAATAATTCCAGGAGCAGAGATACCTCAGCCCTTCTGGGCAACCTCTTCCAATATTTATCCAAACCATTCACCTCAGGCTACTCTGTGGCAAAAATCAATGCCTCTTTAACATAAACAGGTTGCTAGATTGCTCTTTGTGTAATTCTAATTATGATAAACATATTTGTAAATTGATTATTATTAATAGTAATTATGAATAATTAAAATATCGATTTGTTAAATCGTAAGTGATAATTCAGCAACATGCATATCACTGAACCAAGAGTAGTTAACAAAAAACACTATCTAGAGTTTACAAATGACTGTTCCAGTTTAGATCTTTAATGAGGAATGCAATGCCACTGTCTTAAAAGGCAAACACGTGTGCACTCCAGGATACTATTTGATCATTATTATTATTTTTTCATTTGCTAAACGCAATTACCAAGTTCCTTAATTTAAATGAAAGAGAGCTATGTCTGTCATAAAAGACTTAAGTGTATATTTAATAGAATTTATGAAAGATTCTTGAATTGAATTAGATTATTTATATTTACAAATAAAGGAAACTAGCTGTCATTCAAATTAAAATTATAATTTACCACATTCATTTTTAAATCTAGCATTTGGGAAATGCTTACTGAATGCTTCATAAGTGAAAAGACATCCATTATTAACAATTTTCACTGTGAGAGTTACACAATATTAATAATTTATGATGCTCTCCCCACTAAGCATACTTTTGTAAAATGAAATAACATTTAATGTTTCCTCATGAAAACAAACATCTCATCAATATCAGAAGAGCATATAGACTCAACAGAAGAAATGCTGTCACTGCTATCAATACGTTTTTATACTGCCCAGACTTATGGAAGTGAAATGGTGTGCATGTGGGGCAGGAACAAGGTGGCCCAAAAGACACAGCTTAAAAGCAGCTCCACTTTTTTTCTAAGACTTGAGTATAATTCCATTAAGTAGTTCTATTTACTTATTTCTACAATTATCTAATGATGAATAGACTGAATAGGCCTGTAGGAATAGGACTAGTCTAGACATGAGCAATGTCAGTCAGTCATTACAAACAGTACTATCTTTAATAAGAATAGAAGAAAGCACTAAAAAAAAAAATGAGTGATGAGGAGTCCTCATATGATTCTTTCTACCTGCCCATCCATGCTGTTCCCCGAGACCCTAATGACTCCTTTGAAAGACAGACAAAATTTTTAGGTTACCTAGAAAACGACAGGTATAAGTAATGATATGCTTGTGACAGAAAAATCCAAGTAGCATTGTCAAAGCAGTGCAGAACAGTTTCTGTTCCCTAGCTAGCACGCTTAGGAGTCCACATAGGAATATATATTGGTTTTACATGGCAACAAATATGGGTAACAGGACACATGAAGAACCACAAATTACTGAGACGGGCATTTGCACTTGTCACAATCCCACAGTTACTTCATTACTGCATTTCATCAGATTTGTTACATGATCACTTGATGTTAATCAATCACTAGAAACAGCATAGATGATAATTATTGTAACGCAGATGATTATAAATTCAAAGTAACATTGGCAAAAGAGTGAATTTCATCTACTCACTGGAGGTGCATGCACTTGTGTTATCCTTAACTGGTTTTCCAAATCTTGAACTTTGTTCTTCAGTTCTGTGTTTTCAGTTTCTAATTCTTGAATCTATAAAGCAAGTGGTTATTGCAACAGCTATTGGAATATTAATTTAATTCATATCTATTACTTGTCTGTTTACAATTAAAAATGCTGGAGTTCTGGTAATTTCGTAGCAATAATTATCTTACAACAAAAAGTAATTTAAACATATTTAACACCTGCAACATACATATTTCAAGACTTCATTTCTGTTAGTCACCTTAAAAGACAGAAAATCAAAATGTTATTTCATAGTTATCAAGTCTTTATTCTGCTATTTTTTTTTTAAAGTATCTGCTGATATTCTTAGCAATCTGAGAATGCTGAAAATAACATGTCATACAAAAATCTAACAATTACAATGGGATTTTCTTATTATCTCTTTAAAAATTATAGATCAGAACTTACTCTTTTCTGTAAACCTGCGATCTGTTTCCTTGTCTCAACATCTTTTCCTCCAGATTCCAGAAATTTCCTGTAAGCTAAGTCAAATGCTTGGCCAATTGTTAAAGTTATCTCTTCGGCCTTTGCACAAAACATAAATTGAAAGTGGTGTATTAAAAATATTTTATATAATTACTCTCATTTCAGATGATCACAAAATACTTCACACACACATCACATTCAAATGGTTTGCTTCATCTCCCCTGAACTCAACACTGCAAAGAGGCATGGAAAAAACCTCTTGGCAAAATACAGATAACTGTGGGTGCAACTTGAATATCTCCCAGCCCCTTATCCATCAGCACAATAGCAAAGTCACTCAGTGGAGGTGTCAGAATACCTTCATACTACAGTCATGGAGAATTAATGCTTCAACCTATATCTTCAGTGGGTAATAATAATAAAATCACTACCAAAAATACTGTTATGAAATTAGACTCAAGAGACAAAAAGCTGAACTGGAACTGCTTTAGAGAGTAACTGTTACTGTTAATAAAAGGAAACAGTAATGGACAGGAGGAGTATATATTCTTAACTATTTTCCTTGGAAGGAGATAGGTCAGTTGAAAGGAAAGTCATCAACCAAAACGGGATCCTTTGCTAATGAACAGAAGAGTGAAAGCAGAAAATTACACTAAGTGGAGTATTAGGACAGGGGAAAAATAGTACTTGGGCTTGGAGAACAAATGGCACTGTTGTGCAGAAAGTGCAGGGCCAACTGAAATGTCAAATGTGCATAAAAGCAACAGAATAGAAATGTAAAGAGAATTGAACAGATGCGTACAACAATTCTGTATGTCTACATGGCACACTGATACATAATTACAAGCAAATTCTGTGACAAAGACGTAATTTTTTTCTAAAAAAACAAATAATGTTTCCTTCCTTTTTTCTCACCTACTTCAGAACAAATCAGAGATGATCTAGATTTAAAAACAACAGAAAACAAGCATCCATTTTGTTTGCGTTGATTCTGATGTTTTAATTTGTTAATTACTTTCTGCCTAGGAAAATGCATGACTCTGCTTGAATGAGGCACCATTCTCTTCATTTCCTGTCCTGAATTATAACTTTTTCCTGCTATTGCAGTTTGGAACACTTGCCCTGTTCTATCTCAGGCACGAGAGAATGTCAGTAGTTGGTGAAATTAATTCTCTGTTAGTGCATCACAGCATTACAAGCTTGAGATGTGGCAGGGGGGAGGGCAGGGGGAACTCTGCTGTAATGAAAAAAATATTTAAAACATTTGAGTAGAGGCTGAGGCTGACACATCGGCAGAACTGCCTGCGAGGATATCTGAGCTACAGGGTTACAGTAATCTCTGCACAACAGCTGTGCAAACATTTCAAGCTTAGTGGGATGCACTGTTCTCTGAGTATTTCAGATGGCTGGACTAGGATGTTGAGCTGGGTAGTAAGAAGAATTCTCCCAGAAAACCACCTTAAAGGAAGAGACTCTCAACAAATTAATGCATCTAATTTACAAGGCACTATGTTAGCATTAAAGGCTATACCACACTGACCTCAATTAGCAGTCAGGCTGTTTCCTTTTGCTAACCATTCTTGCTTTATTTTAAAACAAATTCCATAATAGACCCTCAGTCTTATAAAAAGAATCTTGCATACTTACACACTTTTCACTGTCAAATACATAGCACAGATGCTTATTTGATTCTGAGTCTTTGCATATGAAAGTAAATATCCTCTTGTCAGTTTTATCATCAGCACAAAATGATATCCTATGGAGTTGGCAATTGTGTTGAACTTCCTAGAAAAAAAAAAGATTATTTTTGAGGAAATGCTATAGTTGTGTGGGATACAGAAAATCTCCCTACATGAGAGAGTTGAAGAAATGAACTTAAAAATATAACAGAAGTTAAACTCATCTTCTCTAAGAAACATTCCCATTATTACTGAATGTAAACAGGAAGTTTTGATTCAGACAGTATTTATTTGGAAGCATTTATTTAGGCAGTAATTTCTGTACTAGAAAATTAGTTTTTACTGCTGCTTTGTGCCCCAGTGCATTTTATTTGGAGACTGATTATGTAAAAGAATTTGCTCTTTGTCCACGTGTGCACCATCTCTGGATCTCATCATCTCCTAGGCTTTGCTAAAACAGTTGTGCTGAAAAAAGTCCTTATCTTTCTACCTTAAACACGGAGAACTGACTTTGTTACCTTGATATAGAGACAAAGTAGAAATCCCTTGTAACAGTAATCATTTTTAAACATTATTGTTTGCATATTTAAAATACTGATTCAATTTCTATTAAAAACCATGCCCAGGATACTTAAAACTTGCAGGGGCAATGCTCTTCAGCTGAAATATGTCAATAAGACTGCAATAGAACTATAATAATAAAAACTCTTTTTTTTTCCTTTTGCTTCTTTTCTGCAAGTCTCTTCTTGGTATTTTTATTTTATTTGGCTTCTTACATGGGAAAGCAGTAATTGCTTTAAAGGAAAATATGCAGTTTAGATATGAACTATCATCTACAGAACAAAGTGTTTCTTTGCAGCACAGGAGTTCACAGATTGCTATAAGCTCATAAACAAGGGCATGCTTTTTCTCAGCAGTTTATCCACAAATGTACCCCATAGGCAATGTTTTCCCCTTTTCTTTCCTTTACCCCAATTAGGTTGAGAAGGCTTCCTCAAGTTCTCATTCTTTACAGTTATTCTTCTGTGCTCCTACTTCTCCCATGTCCCCACATCTCTCACATTTTGTCCTATAACTCTTTAACAGTTACATGTAAGAGCACGTGCTTGTATGGGCTCTTACAGGTTCATAAAGCAGTGTAATTACTTCGTATGATTGAAGGACAGTATTGCACTGTAGTTCCCCTTCTTTAAATGCTAAGTATGAAATCCATAAATAAAATCTGCAAAGACAAGAAACCTTGATTCACATTTGCTTTTACGTCTAGCTTTAGGAAAAAAAGTGAGGGAGATAAGAAGGCTTCTCAGAGCTGATTACCATCACAGTTGGCAATAACATCGTTACAAGATTAAGATGTTCCTATTTCCTCAGTACTTTCTGTCCCACAGATTTATTTTAATCTCTAACATATTTTGGCATTAAATTCTCCCATGCTAAAACAGCTTTTGCCAGCGTATGGGGTTTGGTCCCCTTTCTGCCCCAGGACATAAAGAAAATGCGCAAGCTGCAATAGTTGATATGGGTATTTATTTCTTCTTGGGCTTATGAACTGTTGTCTTGTCTAGATTTTGAAGCAAAAAAAGGTTGCAAGCAGCTATAATCTTGAACTACAGCTACCTTTTCCCAAAAGGCAGTGCCACTCTTTGAATGGTCACAATGACTTTAGAACTAAAGAGGAGCAACAAAGAGGTCATTCAAATTCAAATCTTAACATTTGCACAAAAAGCTTAAGAGCATTCACATGTTATGAATTGCTGATTGCTAAATAATTACTCATTTAGCTGCCTCTTTGAAGTCTTTGAGAAAGATGTTTCCCTTAGTATGTAACCTCTTCCAAAATAACAGAGCAAACAAACAAAACAAAAGCCCATCAGTGGGATGACACGAAGGACCACAAATGCTGAAAAGACAGGAATTGTCATGCTGTGCCAGATGTAGAGCCCAAAGTTTACAGACAAATGAATAACACCTGAAAAACACCAGCGTTTTAGGAAAGTGAGGACATAATTAAAATCAAAAACACAGGAAGAGGAAGAAAAAGGTGCAATTCCAAAGCAGCAGCATGAGACATGAGTCAGTGCAAACAAACATGGGTACGTACAGCATTCAGAATGAACACGTAATTGTCACTGCGTTTTAATCTTTCTCAGAATTTCTAGTGTTGAAGGGTTACAAAAAAATCAAATAGCAGTTAGCTATGGTCCATATTTCTGAGCATCAGATTCCTTCTGGGGAAGATGTTACCCATTTGTACTAAGAAGAAATGGCAATTTGGATAATGTTTATATCAATGAAATTGCTGTCACTGTCATGCATTTTTAAGGTATAAAACAAAAAAAACCTCTGAAACCATTCACAGTTATTCTTTTAACATCACAGATAAATACGTATCCTACCTTTGTTTTTGGATCTAGAATTTTTACACCATAGATTGAGATTTGTAACTCAACTTTAGGTGTCTTCTGGCCTTCAGATTTCTTGATATGTCTTGCAAACTGTAAAAAGAAAAGCATAACACCACGTTACTATTAAGTTTTCTGTGCTGATTTTGTTTAAATTATTTCTCGTTTCCTCTTAACTTCCGCAAACCAAAGACATTTCCTTCCTTCTTCAAAAAACTTACAAACACCACCAGACATTGCCAAAGTCAAATTTGAGCATGAAACAGCATTTCTGACTGCATGCTATAGAATATTCCTATACTTAGGAAAAAAGATTTTAAATTATTTAACTTATTCTCTTGAGACTATTATCTGCAGTTTATGCACCTAACTCACACTTTTGCTTCAGTTGCCTAGGAAAACTCCTGCAGACAGACAGTTTGTTATTTGCTCGGTTGCTTAGCATTGAATTTTTTCCCCTCACACCACAGTAACTCTGTACACTCATGGAGGGTGTGTATCATATGTCTTAAGAAAACCATTTATTTTAAATTGGTTGAGTGTGAAAGCACTACAACTGTCCACACCAAAGAAGTGTTTGATCTTTGCTATCGCATTCTCAGGATCTGTTCCCTATCAAATCACTAGATGACATTTTGTATGACTGGGTCATACATCCTATTTAATACAATTTTTATCCTTTTGTTACTTATTCAACAGCTGGATCTGACTTTTTACCTTTCCCTTGTGAACACCGCTGATAAAATAAGCAGTGCCCCAAATTTGCTACAGTCAAAAGAAGTGTCGTGAATTTAGGTACCATTATTAGCAAAGATTCAGCATTACTTTTTTTTTGCTCCATTACCTGCCCCTTGTACTCTCTCACCTCTGACAATCAGGAATTACATTTTCAAATATCAGATAAACAAGATGACTCACTGAAGCCCAGGGCCTGGCATGTCAGCTCATCATCCTTATGAGTGTGCTGTCCTGAAACCTGTGCTCTTGTATAATTGAACGCAGTGAGCACAAGACTGGGTGTAGGAGAGGATTTGTTCCTGTTCACAGCAGGATTGCCAGTCTGATGCCATTCCTGTGATGTGCTGCCATTCCTGCATGCTGTGACACGCTGACATATGTTCCTTTGAGCTTTCATTTCTCAAATGAATTTCACTCGCAGCAGATAATCCTGGAGCACACACTGATTTGGAACAGCCTCAAACCTGAGTGAACTCTGGTTTTTTGGAAATGTCCTTTTACAACCTAGACGCACGCAAGTATTTCTGTGCAGTAAGAACAACAGGCATAAAGAATATTTAATTTTACTGAGTTAAAGCCATAGCGTACATTGAAAAAAATGATATGAGTAACTTGCACAAGTTTTAGAGCAGATGGCCAAAGCTTGCTCCAAGTAGTCCAGAAGTCTTATAACACCCCAAGGAAGTTCCAGAAGGTAATTCTGTGCCAGTACTAAGTAAGGAAAAATAGAATGACCCTTCCATCTCTCTGCTTCCAAAAGGTATATATCAGGCACATGAACTGAGGAACTTTATCAAGATGAAATTAATGCTGATCAATACGGATTTTAGACCAACACTTAAAATGCAGCTTGTCTAAATAGACGAGGCACTACAGTGAGCTTTGCATGTCACTGTATTTAGGAAATGAAGCAATACCAAGAAAGTATTAGTGAAGTTAGTTACATTAGTCTCCAGATGCAGTTATAAACAGGAAATGGTCATTGGGAAGGTATGTTTCTAATGTATTCCAGCAGTGTTTATTTCTTAAGCAAGACAGTATTGAAAAATGACCAGGAAGAAAACTGATAAAATCTGCAGGCTGAAAAAAAAGATTAAAAAAAAAAAAAAAAAGGGGGGGGGAGAAAAGTCACTCATGATCTGTAGTGAAATTTACAATTATTGCAGGGAAAACCTGCAGAACACCAGTGCTGATGGAGCTGCAAATAAAGCAACACAACCAAGCAGAACACTACAGAATTAACATGGCCTGATGTCATGGTTGGCTTTCTACAAACTAGAGACTCTCCTCATGAAGTGAAGAATCCACACCTTGGAAATTTTAAACGTATCCTTAAGAAAGAGTGCACTGAATCAGCTGCTTGTGAAACAGCAACCCAAATTCTGTGTTCTAAGGTCTCCAAATCAAGAAGGATGTTGATAAAACTGAGAAAATTTGCAAGAGATAGCAAAACCACTTTATAAGGTCTGTCAGATATACAGAGGAGGCAAATCAAAAATGAGTTAATGATGAAAGATGTAAGGACTTCATCAGAGACATCTGGAGAGAGGAACAAGATTTTGAACCAAATGTTTGCTGAGGTCCAATGACTGAAACGTGCATGTTGATAAATCCAGAACATCTGTATGTACAGCTGTTTTCTTTCTTGATGCTTCTCCTGCCCACTCCCTGTTCTGTGTAAGACCAGATACCATACAGACACTGGTTAATGCCACAGCTGATCTCCTCAGAAAGCCTGGTTCAGCCACTTTGCAAACGCAACCCTAAAACACCAAATCTTACCCAGCTATCTGCCATTTGGCTTTTTTGCTCTCTCTCCTTATATTTGCTTGTTCCTTTATTGTAAAATGGACATTCAGGTGCCTCTGGGCACAGGAGACTTACAAATTTAATTTTGTTCACTCAGCACAGATTCAAAACAAATATCTGTATTGCACACAGTAACAACGTTATATAAGAGGGTAAAAATCTGTAGCCTCCCATTGGCATCAAAATGGACAATGATACAGAACTATAATGAATCAGAGCATGGCCTGGGAAGGGATAGGATGGGCCAAATTCTTAAGCCGTTACTTTATACATTTATTGTTCTTGGGCAAGGCACTCAAATTTGGTCCAATAGTAGTTTGAGCAGCTCAGGGGGATGAGCTAGCTTTTATTTAACTGCTTTGGAATTAACACTTTATTTCCTTTTTTTTTTTGTTGACTTTTTTTGGGGGGGAGGGGGGAGGAAGGGAAACACTTTAAACAAACTATTTCCAATGGTTTTACTTAGTTGCTTTTTGTTGTTATTTTTTTAAACAAGAAAAACACTTCCATATATCTTTCATTACACCAGCAGGTAAAATAACGTGCTCTCATATTAATAATAGTTATATTTGAAATCCTTATGCCCCCAGTACAGCATCAGCAAACTGCAATCAGAAGGTTAACCAACAAAAACAACACGAGGAATCACTATTTGTCACAAGTGTAAGCTAATAAAAAAAATGGTTAGAAAATTTTCAGCCAAATTACACTATGGAAATAAAATCAATGAGATTTTACTTAGTATTTACACTTCTCTGCATGACTCAATCATTTACTAGAGATCAACTTGAAATGCCAAAGGAAGAAATTTCTATTATTTGGGTGCTGATCTTCAGCCTGGGGAACAGGTGTTCAATTCCTTCCTCCTGCACACACTCCCAGTATCAGACACCTCACACAGCACTTCATGCATGCCATCCATTAGAAGGAGATGTCTGAAGAAAATAGCCACCAGACCCCATTATGGTCCAAGCTCTCATTCACATGTTTTGTGTATCTGTGATCTCAGAAAACCTGTCAAGAAGAAGACAAGTATGAAAAGACCACATATATCTCAATAGTCAGTTGGGTAGGGAACAAGCTGCCTCAGAAATCCACTGTCAAGGGCTAAGTATTTTATTCTCCAAAGACACACTGGACTGAGAAGGCTCTGATCTATTAATAACTACGTAGACTCGTAATCATCGAAGACAATGTAGTAAAATCCTTTTTCCATCTCTCATTTTTGAAGATTTTTGTTTGTTTGTTGAAAGAAATGAGGTATTTTCTTCTTTAACGCTTCTTATCTGGCCTGCTTTCGTCCCCAGCCCCAAATTCTGCTTTCTCAAGTACTTCAAAGCAAACTGCCATGGCTGTAAGGCCTGTCTGGAAATCTCTTCCTCCCAGCAGTGAAAGGTTTCTGTTTTCAGCTCTTCTCTGTTCCTTCAAGAAGCAGTGTAACCCAGTTTAACCATGAAAGGAAGCTCAGAACATTAGCACTGACCGCATGCTAAGGACAGCAGCCTAACACATCATGCAATCCTTTGTGAGAGTATCCTTCATTCATTTTGCTAATCTTAATGGTTAGGGAGCAATGAAAAGTATTTCAAGTGACTTTTAAGTGCCAATGACATTATCTCTCATCTTCATTTACAGGAGAGAAAAAAAAAAAGGACGAGAAAGGGGAGACTGAGCGAGAAAGTGAATAAAAGAGAACAGCATCAAGGTTGGACCTTTTAAGGAAGTCAAGGAGAAACAGTGTAAACAAGCATTTAGTCCTGGTTGCTCCCAAAGGCTATTCCAAATTACTTTCTTACACAGGTCTGGTTATACCATCCTTTCCATTTGCTGTGCTGAACTTGCAATCTTCTCATCTCTGGCAACACTTCAACATTTTGAGAAGGCTGAAATTCATTTCTACAGTCTCAATTAAACATTATAGCCTTCATTAATTAAAAGAATTAACCTTTCATTTTATGAAGCGTGACTTGACAACATTCACACATTTGAATACAAGCATGTTGACCCAACAACTTGGTATCATTTCTCTAAGTTTAATTCATTCTAGAAATTATTGTAATTAGAAAACTGGAAAGAAAAAATGTTTGTAATAAATTATGAGAACAATTCACTTTATCTTAGAAATGGAAGTAGTGAAGTCCAAATTTCTTATTCATCCTGCGGCACAGTCACAAGAAATTTGAAAACAAGGGAAAAATCTGACTAGAAAACAAAAAACTCATCGGATAACCTAGGAAAATTAAATATAGATGCTTCAAAAAACTGTAATACAAAACTGCAACTGACCAACCAAAATCAGAAAGCGTTTAGGAAGTAGGAACAGTAGTACTCGGGATATAACAAGTCGAATGAAACAAGCGATTTCCTTCGATTCTTTTACTGCGGGACGTTAGCTCCACCTGCTGGTAAAAGCAAGTTTGCAGAGTTGCGTGCTAGTCTTGCACAAAATTCTGCTATGAAGTGAAAAATTCTTTGTTCTGTATGAACTGAGGCTTTCTGATTTGAAGTAAAGCTGCATATCAGATCTATGTTCCCCCGTAGTTTGATAATGTGATGAAAAATAGCTTGCAATAATAATACCTAAATTATCAGTAGCCCAATGCATTCCAGTTGTAAAAATGGCCCCATATGTTAAAGGAGAATAATTTTAATAAGCAATAATTTTCATTAAATACTGTGATGAACAATTAACAACCCTGTGATTGAAAACAATCCATATAATCATGCTGCAGGTGTTAAAAAAGGATCATACCTACACACACTTGCACGGGAGAACAACTAGCTTATCACCTCTGACAAACTGCAGCCACGTTTTTTGACATTAAACACGAGGCACTGACTGACCGACCGAGTATTTAAAGGCAGCTGTAGTTTTTTGGTAGAGCAAAACATAGTTACTAATCAGTCCTGTAGATAAAAAACAAAACTTGTTCAAGGGAACCCTCATCCTTAAAAGTTCAACTACATTAAGTCTGTTTCATGCCCTCTTTGCTCTGTTACTTTCATTATCATAGTAATTACACATAAAACCCAAGTTTTTCCAACATTGATTCTCAAAATTTACCTTTCACTTCAGAAGACTTCTGTTTAAAGAAACACTGAAAATTCTTCAGAAATTTGTGGAAATAAATTTTACATTATAGAAACACTTTTTACAGCTAAGAAAAACAATGTTCCAGTAGCATTAGGAAGCTCAGCACAAAACAGTTCAATTCTACTATGAGGTCAACTGACAGATAAATCACATCTGCATTTTCCACCACAACTCATAGTATGTAAAGCATTTTAAAGCACATTAGCTGTCTCTACCAGTGAAATGAAGGTTACATTATCAGTTTTTAACCCTCAGCAAGTTTGTAACAGCAAGTGTTACTACATTATGGATTAAACCAAAGAATATTAGCACATCATGAACACAATTTCCCTATTTCTCTCTTTGGTCATTTCTTCATTGATAAATTCTGCTTGTCTGTCAAGTCCCTCAGTGCCCCAGAATATAATCAAAAAGGAATTGTACCTATCTGATTTTCTCAGCCTCATAACAGTATAACCAGCACATGGATGGAGTCAGTGGGCACAAACCTTTCCAACAAAACAAAGACCTAGAGAACAAGGCAGTAATGTCCCTTGTCATGAACACATGTAGCTTTGTTTGTACCCACTCTTCTTTTCACAACAAGTCTATTTCCAATCATATCACCAGGTAGCACAGCTGGAGGGTGACCAGCACTCACATCAGTGTCCCAAACCTTCACCACCACACTAATAGTCACTGCACAGAAACAAACAAATGAGTTTCAGTTGAAGAGCAGTGAGGAATAACCAGTGCCCATAGACCCACCACAGCTCACTTATGTCTTGGTAGCACATTCGCACTGCTGGTTTTGGGCACCAAAGGCTTAACTTATATGTGTACTCCATGTGCTGTAACACAAATGTCACCTCACCGCAGCTCATAGGAAGCATTGCTTGGCTCAGAAAAACGCAGGACAGACATTACTGAAACCACTACTTATCTGGTCAAGGAAGTACTCTGGCGACACATCTGACGAGCTTAATTAGAAATTTTTAATAGCCATTGCGGAAGAATGGCAGCTAAAACAAACTATTGCTACCTAGACTAGGATTTAGGAAGCTCTAGAATTTCCAAAGAACAAGCATCACATGTTAAGATACACAGAATTTATACTATAATCTTGTAATACACGAGAATTAAATATTAGTACCTCTGGTAACATGGACACAATAGGGAACTGCTTTCATACCAGTAAAAGCAGCTGCTTTCAGAACATATTAATTTATCTACCAGTGCCAAAAGTGCCTTATCTACACAAATAAGTTAAGAATATATTCTAGTTGTATTTCATGGTTCCTTACCTTTAACTTTCTAACAGCATCTCTTACAACTTCTGTGCCTTTGGGCTGCTCCACTTCTGTACTGCCAAGAAACTGAAGAGAGTATAACTGTGAGAAATAAGTTATGCATTGAAAGGCCTAACTTAAGTAATCATATTTTCCAATGATTTCCAAGTAATATTTTGGAAGAACAACCATTTCAATAGCTTATAACATATTTATATATAGCTATTTATAATCAAGAGTATAACAGTAATCAAATTCTGATTAGATGAGCATAAGAGTTTCAAATAGCTTTTAAAACCATTTTAACTTGACCTTATAGAAGTCCTGAACTACAGGTTAAGCAACTTTAACAGTGAAACTGTTGTTTTGGTAAACAGTGCAATCCTACAAAAACCAAGGATGCAAGATAGTTCTCACTGATCAAAATAGGCCAATGGTTTGAACCAGGTTACTAAAACTGATACGCTGCAGTACAAGAAAGTAAAAAGACCCGAGTCTGCTCTTACAGCTTCTTGGTACAGGAACTTCATAGGTTTAAAGGAAGCAGAATTAAACTGATGAAAAGCAAGGCTCAGACTCGAAGAATTTTTTTTTTTTCTAAATAAAATTAGTAGACTTCATCACAAACCAAGTATATATCTGTTGACGCACAAATCATGATATTTCTAAGGTACATCATCACTTCTTCATTCGTATACTGAAATTCCTTTAAATAATTCAGTACAGTTTTGCTCATTTCTACTAAACTTCATGAAAAGTTTGAAAATCCCACCCAAACCACTTTTGTTTGTGTGATAAGTTAATTATGAATCACTTGGTTGATTTCCATACTGAGGCCCAGTTGGTTTAGTCACACCATATACCTGTAACATGCCAATGTAACACTAGCAAAAAAGTATGAATTTACACTCATCTCTGAAGTACACAAACCTCTATGCAAAATGTGATGCATGAAGGTATCTAAAATTATTGTCTTTACAGTTCAGAGAGCAACTTAAGTTTGTGAAACTACAGATGTTTTCAACATCATCTTGAAAGTTTTTAACAGTCAACATGCTCAAGCTGTATACCAGCAAAGAAACTTCACAGCTCTGTGAATGTTCAGATCTCATTATAAACCTGCTACTGATTCTGAAATGTGTTGTGTCACCTTGAACACTAATCAAAACACTGTAATCCAGGCACAAACACTTTCAATGATCTCTGCTATTGCAATTCCCTACCTAGGAGTCCATGGCTTCCTGATAACACAGCAGAAACCTTTGTTATTGATTTGATGTCTTTTGTATAGCAACTCCCCACACTTTAATAAAGGATGTGTTCTTCCCTGGTGACAGCTGCAGAAAATGCAATAATGATTCCTGGACAATATAATACTACTACATGTAACAGACAGAAAGGGAAAGATGAGTGAACGTTTGTATGTTTTAAAAATAATAGCACTAATGTAAAGCAAAAAAAAAAAAAAAAAAAAAAAGACAAGAAAATAGATAAGGACACGTGAGAATCTAAGAGCAATTCTGGCAATACCAGACATCTACACACATGCTTAGCACAACACTGATATATCATCTTACACATAATCATAATTACAGTATGATTTGTGACAAATTGAGAGCGAGGAAATGGTATGCTGTATACATTGCAAAACTCCTGCATAAAAATAGGAGACAACAGATGCAAATACTGAAAAGGCTCAGCTGAATTGCAGCTAACTGCAGGGAGTTGAAAATGGCTGGGCATGTTTCAGCTTGCTCCTCTTTGGAGGGTTTGAAAACTTGCAGTTCCAGGAGAGCCACCAAGGGAAGCAGACTGGTGCTCCCCCAGCAGACACTCAAGACAGGCCATGCTGGGATTGTGCTGAGTGTGCTTCCAGAAGCCAGGCAGCTGCCTTACATCTCTCTCTTTCCTGATTGGAGGGGGTGGGGGGAAGTGGGGGAGGTAATGTATGCAGCCAAGTGTGGAGAGAAATTGCTGAAAGCACACATTGATATGATTGATAACGCCTCCAACATATATATGAATTTGATAAAAATGTTACAAAACCAATAACCCAAGACTTGATGTATATAGAAACATAGAAGTATTTAGATCAATATTTATGGCACATGGACCATCTTCCAGATGGGCATCTGTTTTGATGTTTAAGCATCACTACTGAATTTTTTTTTCCTCTCAGCAATTTGATTAGGATGGGATGGAATTACAGTTCACGTGGAACAGGCAACTCAATTTAGGAAAAAGAAGCAAGATGCGTTTTATCTACAAATAAAAAGGATAATTGGAGCATAGGTGTCAATACCACTCAGAGATAATGAGACATGCATGCTACGGGTTATATTGTATCTGATACATGTTTGTATGTCTGTTAACTGCAGCTTCATTTCATATTCAGTTAAGTTCAAATTTTAGACTGTTTATATATCTGTATATTTTAACAGTTCATACATTTAGCCTCCATAAGCTTTCTCTCTCTATTTATTAAGACATACTAATCAAGAGAAAAACAAATTTAGAGCAAAAATTTGATTATTTATGTTAGACTTGTTAATATTTTGCCCTAAAATAAACACAATTTTACAACTTTTATCTGCTTTGCACATTTTCTACATCAGATCACTGATTTGGCAAGATCACTGTATTTTGTTTACTATTAAGACCCGATTTTTATGGTATTACTTGTATTATTATTGTATTATTACTTGTAATAATTAAGTTCAGCAAATGCAAATATGTTTGCAAAATAGAGAGATTAAAAGAAGAGCTTAATGGAATGAAGCCCTATGTATTTGTGCAATCCCTAACATACCAGATGCCCTTTCTCCTCTGGGACTTGTAAAGTAAATAATTAAGAACTAATTCACCATCCTCATAAAAGTGGGAGACATCCATTTCTTTATCATCTTTTCAGCAGACTTTTCTCCCCACATTTCACACAAACACGAAGAGAAAACTATTAACACGTTATAGCAGGCATCCAGCACAGTGTGATACTCAGAATATGAGCATTCAATGTAAAAGAAGTACTGCAGCAGAAACCTGAAAACAAAATCGATAAATTCAAGACTTCCATTTTCAAGATAAGGGTCCTTCAGAAAGTGGTACTGAGGCAGAAAAAAAGAAAGAGGGGAAACTCGTGAAGTCAGCTATTGCTTTGATCACTTCATGTTCCCTCCTACTGCAGAGCCAGCTGACAAGGAACTAACACCACAAGCTGTAACTGTCCTAGAAGCCAAGCTGCTCTTCCACTTAGCACAGCGAAAGGTTAAAGAGAAGATCAGGGAGCAGCTCTCCTTTAGATCTTTCAGTATTAACACCACGTGCAATTTAATAAGCGCGTTACTTTCTTAAACATTCATTAACATCAAATACATAATGCAGATTAAAAATATTTACATTTGGTTACATTACAAACGTCTCCTCCCTACAACTAGTACGAGCTGTTTCTTGAATTCAGTGTTCTCTATGGATAATAAGCTAATTCAAAGAGAACAGCTTAAGTTGAGTGTGCCACCAGACTCAACTTTGTCAGTATTTCTGAATTACTGAGGTCAGCGCTAACAAGAAGTTTCACCAGAACCACACTAAGTTTCTTTTGGATACTCAAAGAAGTTAAAAGTTGATGACATCTAATGCTCTGTATAAACATACAGCAAATCAGTGCAATTTTATTCCCAAATTATTTTTTTCATTGCAGTCTGCCATTCTTCCAAACACATTCCCCACAACACTGATGAAAGGCTGTTTCTAAAGTGATGCTTATTCTGATCTCACTTGCAGCAATCTATAGTCAGAAATAACTTCTATGATGTCAACAGATCTTATCACACAATTTAACACATTTTTTTTCACTTGAAGAATATTAAAGGTTGTCCTTCCCTCATTTATGTTTGCTATTAAGAAAGTGAGCTGTTGAACAGCGATATACAAGACAAATACCTCAGATCAAATTTTAACTTAATATCAGCAGAGGACCAGATGCGCTTGTTCCACGTGCTAAGATTTGCTAGATAGTGCAGCTGTGGAGAATTACCAGGGTCTCTTTCATCATACTAGAATCAACAGAACTTTTATAATTGACAGCATCTGAGAGAATAATTCCACCCTGTGACTGCCAGATGGACTTTCTTACACAGCAAATTTCAGAAACAGACCCCTTGTGAGTAATAACTCCTTCTGCACAGAGCTGAAAAGAAAATTTTATTATGCATTTAACTCAAGCAAGACTTAGAATCATAGAACGCTTTCGTCCAATTTCATGGTGAAAGCATTATAAATGCTTTAGAAATTGCAAATTGGTTGAAGACACTATGAAAAAGAATAGCTATTAATAAGGCCATCTCAGGTGTTTTTTTTGTTTTTTTTTTTTTTGTTGGTTTGCCATTCATACGATGGACTCCAGTAATTCAAAATCAGATTAGGTCTTGGCAACTCATTGCAATGTTAGTTCATACAAATTCTATCCTGGTGTTTTTCCTCAGAATATTAAGGGTAAAAAATTCACCCTCAGGAAAAGTCATCTTTTCCAAGTCAAAAATATCTTTAAATAAATTTGAAAAAAGACTACGTTTTAGGTGCAGTTTTGAATAATAAACATAGAATTCCACTCTTCCAGTAGGGAGCAGTGTAGGATATTTTAACAATAAAAGAAGAACACAACTGTTTTCTTCTGTCATTCTATTTCAACCTTTAAAACAAAAAAATCAGTCTTTCAGAGTGACACATTTCTTTATGACCATAAAGAACCTTGAACATGAAAAAACTCTTTTATATAAATTTAGATGCAGTTATATGAAAAAAAGAACTTGCCAAAGAAAATGAAAAAAAGCAAGGCAAAGTATGGGATACCTGCTGCCAAGGTTTGACAAATTGCCTTCCTTACAGCACAAGTCGTAGGGATGTTGATTTACCGACAAAAAGAAGGCAAATGCACACACATTCTGATAGCAGCAGAATGACAGTATACAATAAAAAACAGGATGATGGAGCAGGGGGACCAGTTCTGAATCTACCCAGAAAACGTACAATCATATGTCTAAGCTGTTAATCATGTCTGAAGACAGAAGGATTGTTTATTCGGCCTTGAA